AGCATCACGTGCTCCCGCTCCGTAGGGAACATCTCCAGTCTTGAGGCCCGTCAGCTGCTCGATCTTCTGGAAGAACTCGATGTCGTACTGGGTCACCACCGACACCGCACGACCTTCGTTGTGTGTCGTGTGTGTCAGAAAGTGCTGAGTGCGTACACAGGATGAGTGAGACGGTACCGGCCCTCTGGGCTCGCGCGGTTCTTCCGACTCGGTGAATGTAGTCCTTGGGGTTGAGCGGGATGTCGTAGTTGATGATGAGATCGACGGAGGGGATATCGAGACCTCTGCTCGCCACGTCGGTCGCCAGCAGGATGTTGCGGTCACCCGTCTTGAAGGTGTTGAGCGAGCCGATGCGCCTGGACTGGGACATCTTGCCGTGAATCGGGAGAGCCTCGAAGCCCAGATTTCGCAGCATCAGCGCCACACGCTGTGCAGTGTTACACGTGGCCACGAAGACTGGACCACCATTAAAATAAATAAATAGAGAAAAGAAAAGAAAAGAAAGAAGGGAAAGAGCGAGCGTGAGCGCTTTGTCCAGTATTAAATAAATATATAAAAAACTCGTGAGTGTGCTCGGCCGTACCAATGATGGAGTTGCCTACGAATTCGTTCAAGAGGTAGACCAAGTAGCAGTCCTTGAACTTCTCCGGCACAAAGACGTAGTTTTGAAGAAGAGTGTCCACAGTCGAATACCTACGCGTCGGTGTCATGGTTTGTTTTGTTTTGTGGTTAGGCGCACGCTGGATGGAGCTTTCGTGGGTGGGTGGGTGATGGCCATACTTGGAGGAGACGGAGATCTTGACGGGATTCGCGAGCGAGGCGCGTTCGAGCTTCTTGACCTTGCTGGTCATCGTTGCCGAGAACAGATACGTGTGGCGCTCCTATTGCACACAGCGAGAATGTTAGCCCACACCCCGTGCGAGGACACCACACACAACACACACACAACACACAGAGGATAGAAAGGACCTTGGGCAGACAGGCCAAGATTTGATCGATTTCCTCCTCGTAGTCCATGTTGAGCAGGCGGTCGGCTTCGTCGAGCACGAGGTACTTGAGGCTCTTGAGCGAGAAGCCCTTGGTGTTTTGAAGATGGAACAGGAGACGACCGGGCGTCGCGCAGATGATGTGGGGCTGGAGGCAGAGAGCGTGTGTGCTATGTGAGTTGTGCTGTCGATGATTGTAT